AAGGTACAGGAACTTCAGGATGGACTTGGACAGAGGAGTGGACAAAGAGAAAAGGGAGGGAAGATGATAGGAAGTGGGCCATTTTAGAACAGGAAGTCAAAGGAAGGTGGTGTGTTTTGGTTCTTAGTTTTACTGTTTTGCTTTTTATTTTAAAAAAAAGAACGATAATTAAAAGTGAATCGTTTAAAAAAAAAACCAAAAACACCAACAGGGGATGGGGAGAGAGGCGTGAGGAGGGCCACCCCCGTGGCAACCCTTCCCAGGGTCTGAGGATGGAGTGGGGATGGGGTGGAGATGAAGGGAAGAGCAGGGAGATAAATGTGAGGGGTCAGGGAGGGGGCAGGCTGGGGTGGGGGGGCGAGGGGGCCTCTAAAAGGAGATGGAAGAATTCCTTGCCCCAAACGAAGTCAATACGGGGATAGAGGTTCTGGAAGCCGAGGGCTTTTCTGAGACGGGGCTTGAGGTCTCATTCGACCCGCTCATCTCTTTAGATGGTTTAGTGGCCTGGAACACAAACAGGGGTCAGGGGTCAGAGAGAGGAAGGGAGAGCCTTCATGCTGGCCCCCAGCTGAAGCTTTAAAATAGGAAAAACCCTCCACATGTCCGAGAGAAAAGGAACTGCAGAAGGAAGAAACCATCTGAAGAGAGCGGTCCCTTTGAGACGGGGCAGGGGGGGCACAGCAGGGCAGGAGGGGGCACGGAGTTGGACCAAAGGGCCCGGGAACTGGGGTGGGAACACAGGTCCAAGGTTACTGATAGGAAAGAGAGAAGGTGGAACAGAGAGACCAGAGAAGCACAGGGAGACGGCACCAGGGCCAGCAGAGAGGGAGATGGGGCGGGGAAGAGGACAGGGGAGGGAGGAAGGAGAAATGAAACGTTAGCGGCCACAGGGCGCATGCCCTGGGAGCAGGGAGGGAGTCGGTGGGCTCGTAGTCCCAAAGGGCCTCAGCCCAGCCCGGGGCCCTGCCGACCTCAGCGGGAGGCTTATTCTAAGCAGAAGGTCTTGGGGTGGCATCTGAGGCGTGAGCGTGTCCTCCCCGGGAAACACTTCGCTGAAGAACCTCCCCACCCCCACCCCGCCCGGGAGGGCTGCACGGAGCCTCACTCCCACCTGCTTCAGGTATAGCTGCTTCTCCGGCTTTGGGCTGGGCCTGGCGAGGAGGGAGCTCACTCCCCGGTAACATGTCCCGCACTCACAGTCAGCTCTGATAGTTAGAAACAGCCCAAGCCCTTCCCCGCCTCCAGCAACCCCCTGCAGCTGTACGGGTCCTGGAGGTTTGTATGGTTCTCAGAGCTGCCTGCATCGCCTCCACCTCCAGGGGAGGATGTGGGGCAAACGCAGAGTCCCGGGCCGGCTCCAGAATCCACCTCCGGTGTGGGCTCCGGGGCCTGCATATTAGGCAGGCGCCCCAACCGAACCTGCTGCTCATTGGACTGAGGTCCACTGGGTCAGGGCTACGCGGCCGGGTTTTCTCCTGTCCCTCCTGGCCTTGCTCAGCGTATTTACTGATAAAGAAGACAGAAAGGAAGAGAGAGGACTGGAAACAGCCGTGGCCCATGGCCAGAGGCCTCCTGCCGGTTAGGTCTGAACAGGTCAGTCTGTTTCCCACGACCTGTATTGGCAGCCAGCTGCTGGGTCAGCTCTCCCGGAGGCCTTGCCTGGGAAAGCCAGACCGAGCCCCCAGCAGCCTGGAAGGGAAATGCGATCGCAGGCAGCCTGACCGCTGACAGCGAGCCCGCCCTTGGCCGCTGGTCTTTTTCCCCAATGAGCGCGTGATTCATCTGGGGTTTGCTCACCACACTGCAGGCTGCAGTCACATTTCCCCCCACTCAAGGCACGTTCCCCCTTGGGGTCTCCCGCCCTCTCCTCTACTATGGCCACACATTCCTTACTCCAAGGGTTCCAGGCCCCGGATCCTTCCATTCACTCGGGCCTTTGCCAAGAGCCAGGGGCCGGGCATAGCCCCTTGATGGCAACGGAGAGCTCTCTTACTCTGTCACTTACCCTGGGCTCCTGTCCGGCCTGTCCCCCCCCCGCCACCCCTTTTTTTAAGTTCTTTCTACCGTGTCTCCTGCATCTCTTCACATCTCACCAAGTCCCGGACCAGCTGTTTGATTCCCTCCGGGCTGTCCTTTGTTCTCAATTCATCTCTAGTTAAAAGCTTTTCTCTGTTCCTCCCCTTTAGCACTTGTCAAAAGCCTCCATCTATGTCTATTCTGAGCTTCGGTCTTTAAAACATCTGCCTTCCCACTTGGGCCTCTAACTGGCCCTGCATTCACCCAGGTGATGTCCCCCCACACCCCTCTCACAGCGCTTGGCAGAGTCACATGGATGGGATGCCCCCACCCCCTGCCAACCTCTTCTTCACGGAGACCCCTTACAGTTGCTCTGTGAGCCTCTGTCTGGTCAAGCTCTCTCAGGCCCTAGTCCCTCTCGGGAGACTGACCAGCTGCAGCAACAGCCACAACCCACTTCCTGAAGCGGAGGGAGCATGTCCAGCTGTGGCCGTGGCCTCGCCCTGCGCTGCTCAGAATTCTCAGGTGACACAGCTGCTGTCTCTGAAGGTTCCTGCCACTTGCATTTCCCCAGCCCGTCCTTCCCTGTTGCTCCCAATTATGCCCAGAGGAGCAGAGCTTTGTCAGGTGTTTGGCTTTCTGCTGGGGGAGGCTGGAACCCTTAGGCTGAACCCTGCGCCCTCCTCTTCCTGTGGGACACAGGCTAGCGGCCTCTCTATGCCCTCGCACGCTGACCGGTCCCTCCACGCTATGACGCGCAGATTCCCACACGGGCGTAGATCATCCTGATGCAGCAGACCCTGCTGGCACTTCCTCCGGGACCATCCCCAGTGCCACCTACCCGCTGCCCACAAGCCCTTCTTCCTTCCTATTTGCCGGAACCAGGCACAGGGCTGTCAGGAGAGACGGGGCTTCTCGCAGCCCAAGGGGGGTGGGTCCTGAGAAATACTAGTATATGGCAATTTCAAGCAATCCCTTCTCCTTGCCAGTGGCAGGTGTAGGCAGGGCAATGAGGCAAGAGGGGCGATCAGATGGGGGCTTCCGGGGAAGATTCTCCTGCCCCTAAGAAGATCTGTGTCCTGGGGCCCCTGGAATGAAGGCAGCCCTGGGGGCAGGGCAGAATGCTGGGCCAACAGGACCCAAATAGAAAAGAAACCCGTTTCCTGACATTCTTGCGCTGCTGGATTCCCCAGCCCTGGGTTCTCCCTGCCTCCAGACTTCCGTCTTGTTACCGAATACCTTCCTCATTGTGTAAGCCAGGGGTCCTCAAACTTTTTAAACAGGGGGCCAGTTCACTGTCCCTCAGACCGTTGGAGGGCCGGACTGTAGTTTAAAAAAAATCTATGAACAAATTCCTATGCACACACTGCACATATCTTATTTTGAAGTAAAAAAACAAAACGGGAACAAATACAATATTTGTATTTGCATGTGGCCCGCGGGCCGCAGTTTGAGGACCCCTGGTGTAAGCCATTTAGAATTGGAGTTTCTGTGACCTGCCGCTAGAAGCATTCCAACTGATACCGAGGCCCAAAGCTGCTCCCCAGTGCTCCAGGCAGCAGCGCCCAGGTCACTGGTGCCATCTCACCCACGCTCCCTGCAACCCAGAGCTCAGGCTCCCTGACAAGGCAGGAGAGTCCAGCGTGAAGACAGGCAGACCCGGGCCCAAGTCCCAACGCTGCCACCGCCTCGCGTGGGACCCTAAGCAGGGTCTCCCAGGGCTTTCACGTGCTCACCTGCCTGGCAGGGCAAACAGTCCCTGCAGCATCAGAGCAGGTGAGACGATGCCACACAGAGCACCAGGCCCGGTGTCTGTACTAAGGACGCAATACCTGGGAGCTGTGATTATTACGCTATTTTAACATTTCAAGTCTGCTTTGTCTATTTCCCCCTGGATTGGGCCTGATATGCGGCAAATTCATCCATTCATTCATTCATTCATTCATTCACCTACCGGACAAATATTTACTGAGTCCCTACAGCAGTGGTTCTCAACCTGTGGGTCTCCAACCTGTGGGTCGCAACCCCTTTGGGGGTCGAACGACCCTTTCACAGGGGTCACCTAAGACCATCGGAAAACACATATATAATTACATAATGTTTTTGTGATTAATCACCATGCTTTAATTATGTTCAATTTGTAACAATGAAAATACATCCTGCATATCAGATATTTACCTTACGATTCATAACAGTAGCAACATTACAGTTATGAAGTAGCAACAAAAATAATTTTATGGTTGGGGGTCACCACAACAGGAGATACTGTATTAAAGGGTCGCAGCATTAGGAAGGTTGAGAACCACTGCCCTACAGGGATTAGCAGTGACAAAGCAGATTGAGCACATGTGTTTTAAGATATAAAGTTATGAGGATTAAATATGATACATGACTACTAGTATTTTCTATCTGAATCTCCATCTTTCCCCCCATCCAAGTCCTGCCCTGCTCTGTGCCCTGGTTGGCTGACACCCCCCACCTCCCGCCACCCCCCGCCCCCGCTTTGCTGACTAGCTTCTGGTTGGGTTATGGCAGGATGGAGAGAGAAGGGGTGATGTTTCTTCTCCACTACCTCCCTCCTTGGGGTCATGTTGCAGGCAGCAGCCCTGCCCTCCCTACAGCCCTGCTCTCCAGTCTCTCTGGGCTCCCTAAACTCTATGCCCTCTGCCTCCCCACTCCCCAGGGAGGCCCAGCCTTCTGCTTTCACTAGTCCCTGGGTACCTCAACATCCCTGTGCTTTCCCTCATCCCTCTGGGTGGTCCCTTCATTACAGTCCACCCATTTGAGCCACCTGAGAGGATACAGCGGGTGCTCACAGAGCTCCCAGCCCTCGGAGAGGAGGGGCTGTCCACAGGGGCACCAAGACCTGGGTCCTTGCACCCCTGGGAATCTGGCCGCCATGCCATCCCTGGATCTTGAGCACAACATCCAAGGGGTTTTTCTCAACTGTGTCTCTGATTTCTCTGTAGCCTCGGCCACTGTTGCATCATCTCAGAACCCCCATTTCCCGGCCGTGAGGTGGGAATGACGTTGGGATTCCTAGGTGCCAGTCCTGGCTCTAATCCACCTTGCTCTGCACCCCTGGGAAGTCCCTTTCCATCTCTGAGCTGTCCCTCGGCTGTAAAGGAGGCGGCTGGACTCACCCATTTCTAACCTCCTACCTCTGAGCCTAGAACCTTCTTTATGTCCCAGCATCTGGACATTTCACAACCCCAACGCCCAGAACAGGCCTGGCATCCGGGACCTGCTGAGAAATAAGTCACGGAACCAAACAAGTGCCCTAACGGCCTCTCAACATCTAGGCCCAGGGGCCACCCTGCACCTCTGGGCCGGGCACCCGGGCACCCGGGCCCACAGGGCAGGAACACCCACGGTGAGGTCAACTCTGTACCCCACGGCTGCGAATCAACACCCCTGCCACTCCTTCCCATGGGGGGAGGTGAAGTCTCTCTCCTTCCGCCCCTCCCCATCCGACGTCCACGGCAACACACTGAACCCCAAGCACCAGACTGAGCTGCAGGTGCAAGCTGGCTTCTCCCTCAGCTGGGCGATGGCCTGGGAGCTAAGAGGGAGGCTGAAAGGAGATTTGGGGGGTGGGGTCCCACAGAGCAGGCGGGATTGAGAGTGGCGAGAAGGCAGTGGAGAAGAGGGGAGTGGCAGAAGATGAAGGGGCATCTAAGTCCCCCTCCCACACCCAGGGCAGGCCAGGTCTTAGAAGGACCCCGTCATCGGGGCTGGTGGGGACAGGAGTCTACTCGCTCCCCCTCCTGCGGAAGCAGCTGGGGAGAGGGCTCTCTGGCCCTGTGTGAGGCCTGGCTGCGAGCCTAACTCCTAGCCCAGATCCAGAGCCCTGGGATTAGGGAGAGGAGAGAGGAGATGGCTCAAGGGGCTGCTGGGGCGGTCCTGGCAGGGGGACCTCTCTGGGCATCGGGTGGGAAGGCAGTCATGGGGACAGTGGCCGGAGGCGGCCAGCACACAGCACTGCAGGGGCGGGGGCGGGGGACTGGGTAGGGCCGAGGTCCTGTTCCCGTGGTGCCCACCTTACCTGCTGCTGGGCCTGGATCCTCATGTACTCAGCCCTCTGCTTGCCATGCTTGCCTTTGTCGGGGCTGCCGGCCTGGCCCTGGGCTGCCTTCAGCCTAGAGGCCCCTGGAGTCACCACCTTCATGGGCGGCACGCTGCCTCCGCCGCTCTGCAGGAAGAAGAGCCGGGTCAGGTGGGGGGGGGGGCATACAGGAGCCCCAGGCACTGGGCGGGGTCTCTGGGGCAAGGACCTCTTCAGTGGGCCCTGGAGACCCCTCCAGGCTCCACACCCCTGCCCAGGACTCAGGGCCACTCTCTGAGGCCAGGGCAAGGCCTCCCTGAGAGGTGGCAGGGGTACCCGCTAGGTTCCTGACCACTCCGCTCCCCAGTGAGAACTCGGTGGTGTTTCCTTGGAGAGCCCAGAGGCAGCTGGCACCCCCTGGGGGAGCCACTTCTAATGTAACACCCCCACTCCCAGCAAGGGGCACCATCCTGAGCCCCGGAGAGCAGGCCTGAGATGGGGGTGGGGTGTGGGTCTTTATAATGGCAAACAGAGCAGGATTGGCAGCCCCAGGCCCACATCTCCTCCCAATGGGAGGATGGGGGTGCAGTCTCCCTAAGATGGACCAGTCCAGCCCCTTGAACCACTCGAGGTACCAGACCTGCCCGGAAGGGCCCTGGGAGTCCAGAGGCGCAGGCAGAGAACGACAGAGACAGAAAGAGTCACACAGGAGGGGAGGGGAGGGGGTGGGGGGAAGAGCGAGAACACTTTATTTGTTGGTTTACAGATACAGAGCAGAGGAGAGGCCCTGGTCCCTGCCAGGCCTGGATGGGCTGGTCCCTGGGGAGGCCAGCTTCCCAGCCTCCTCGGGCTCAGCCTGCAAACCCTGCCCGGCGCCAGGCTCCCAGGAGGGTGGCAGGAGCTGAGAGAAGGCCAGTGGGAGACGGGGGCTGTCTGGGTGCTCCTGCAGCCCCCAACTCCCTCCAGCTCTGAAGATGGAGAGACTGGAGCATTAAGGCAGGAGGGGAGAACAGGGGAGGAGGCAGCCACCTTGGGCCTGGGGGGCAGGGGTGGGAGGCTGCCAAGGGGCCTCTCGGAGGGGGCCGTGCCCATCTGGCTCAGCGTGGCTTCCAGCTCCCGGAGCGTCTCTTCCAGGCTGTCCATCCGCTGGGGGGTGGCACCCCTCACTGTGCCGCCGAGGCCAGCACCAGGCTGGCCCTCACACTGCCCACTGCCAGGTCCAGAGTCCTTGGGGGTCTCCTCTGGGTGGTCTTCTCTGGTCTCAGCAGTGGAGGGCTCTTGAGTTCTGTCTGGGGCTGGTCCCCGAGAACAGGGGACCCTGGCTCCTCCCTCTTCCTGACTGTAGCCCCCTGAGCCCTGTCTCTTCAGAGGTGGCCCTGCCTTCTCGGGCATCCAGCTGCTGCTGGGCCTGGAAGCCTCGGCCACCACCTCTGGCGGGGCCCTCCCACTGCCAACCAGGGTCCGGGGTCTCGGGGTGGGGGTTGTTCTGGGACCGGGCTCCTCCAGCCTGGCCTCTGGTGGGGAGGGAGGGTTGGGGGCACACTCCGTCAAGATGATCCGGGGGATGCACAAGGCCCTGGCACCCGGGGCCGCCTGGGGGGAGAAGAAAGATGAGGGAGAATATGATCCCTGCAAACTAAACCACCAGAGCTGGGACGGGGGCTTAGACGATGGGTGAGCCCAGCCCCTTTCTTCCATAGAGGGGGAAACTGAGGCAGGGGAGGGGCCTGAGTGAACTCAGCAATTAGAGGCAAAGCTGGGACTAGGAATCAGGCCTCTTCCCAGCACACCCTCCAGTCTCCCACGTTCGGGCAGAGAAGCCAGTTTACCTAGAAGCACAGACACAAGCTGACTTCCCCTTGCCCATGCTGAGTCCTGGGAGCAGCTCTCCCAGGCACCCGCCTCAGTTTGCCCACCTGTGCAATGGGATAGCAATATGAGGGGCGGGCGGAGAGTCAGTGAGCTCACGTGGGCATGGCTTGGCACTGGGCCTGGCACCCTGCAAGTGCTTGATAAACACAGCTGTTTGTTGGATTGAACTGAATGATGGAGGCCAGCAGCCTGTGAGGGTGAAGACCAGATGTTGGCCTCTGGCCTCTGAGGGTTAGGCTGTCATCGTCATCACAGGCCAGAGACTCCTGCCCTCCACCCTCCACTTTCAGAACTTCCTCCAAGGGTTTCACCACCAGGAGGTGGGGGAGGTGGGGGGCGTGGCGGCGGGGGGAGCTCAGCTGGACCAAGTCCCTCTGTTGCACACAGGCTCGGGCAAAGCTAGAGCACCTGCTTCTGTGTGAACACCCCTCGCTTTGGCTTTGGAGCGGCCACAGAGACCCCCCCAAACTGAGTGAGCCCTGGTCTAACTCTGAGCACCAGTTTTGGGCCAGCTCTGTCACGCACGTCTTCACCTTTCATTCCCACTGTAACCCACCAAATGGCTCTCACCTTCTTCACAAGGTAGAAACCAAGGGTGGGGAGGGTCATGTGACTCGCTCAAGGTCATTTACCCACAGCTAGTTAGTGGCAGCGCCAGGACTTGAACCCAGGTAGTCTGGCTCCAAGTCCAGTGCTCTTTCCACTAAAAGGAGCCACAGGGAACATTTGCGGGGGGGGGGGGCAGCAGGTTCCCCAGCCTCCCTCCCACCAGCCCTGCCACCTGCTTACCTGAAGACGGGGGTGCAGACTAGGAAGGCAGAGAGGGTGACCCATGCCTGCCCGGCTCCACTGCCCGATGGTGCCTCGGGGTGCAGGGGTGAGCCAGGCCCCAAAGGCCCGCGGAGGGGCTTTGCCCACTGGGCCCCTTCTGATTGGCTCTGAGCCAGAAGGGGCAGGGGCTGGGGGCCGCAGGCACAGCCCTCTGGGGAGCCCTCCCATAATGCTCATCCCCAGACGGCTCCTCGGACGGCTCTGTGTCCATCCTGCACCCAGCAGACAGCACTGCCCCCCATCTGGCGCCTGTCTGCTCCCCCTGGCCAGGGAGCCAAAGCACCACCAGGCCTCAAGCCAGGCCAGAAATCGGGTGGTGGCCAGCATGGAGCCCACGGCGGGCCAAGGAGAACCAACGAGGCAGGTGAGCCTGTGTGCACTGGAGGCTGCCCGCCAGCGTGGAGTGACTGAGCAGAGGGAGAGATTCCCAGTCCACCCACCCAGGTTGCCCCCCCAAACACAGCCCCCCAGGGGTGCAGACAGCAAGTCCACCCCCGAGTTCCCAAGAACGAGTAAAAAGGAAATAAGTGCAGGGGACAGCAGCAAGGACTGAAGTTAGAGAGAAAGGAGAATTTCCCAAACGCTGAAAGATACGGAGCCAGCAGCCAAGGAAGGGCGCGGGTTTCTTCCATTCCAAGCTCCCTGACCAAGAGGGCAAGATGGGGCCATGGGCCTGAGAGGGGCTGAAATGAGCTCCCCCTGGGGAGTCCTGGCCCCAGTGCAAGGCACAGATTCTTGTGGGAGAAATGAACCCCCCCGCCTGGCACAGGCAGCAGAGTAGGGGGGCAGGAGGCAGCAGAGTAGGGGGGCAGGAGGCAGCAGAGTAGGGGGCATGGCGGAGACTTAGACAAGGCTCAGGACAAAGTCAGATTTTGAGTTGGACTTAAAGTCACCTAGTGAACAAGGTCCAAACTCCCATCTTGGACCGAGACAAAACCCAGGCTGCAGGCCAGACCTAAACTCGGGCCACAGATTGGAATAAAATACCCAGACCCCCATGGGCCGACCCGAATGAAGCCTGTAAGAAAAAGCAGACCCGCCCTAACCGGTTTGGCTCAGTGGATAGAGCGTCGGCCTGCGGACTCAAGGGTCCCAGGTTCGATTCTGGTCAAAGGCATGTACCTTGGTTGCGGGCACATCCCCAGTAGGGAGTGTGCAGGAGGCAGCTGATCGATGTTTCTCTCTCATCGATGTTTCTAACTCTCTATCCCTCTCCCTTCCTCTCTGTAAAAAATCAATAAAATATATTTTAAAAAAAGAAAAGAAAAGAAAAAGCAGATCCAAGGGGCTACTGGCTGCCAGGCTGCTGGAGTCCCAGGGATGGAAGGAAGGGTTGTGCACCTGTCCTTGGAGGCGGGGGAGTGGTGGGGTGGGAGTCCAGGTGGGTGAGGCTGTGGCGGTGGTGGGGACCCAGGGATGTGACTGGCATCTTAGCAGGTTAGCGTGACAGGTGAAGAGAGGAAGCTGTGGAGGCACAGGCAGAAAGAGCTCTGTGAGAGGTGGGGGCAGCCTGTTACCTTCCATGTGGGGCCTGGGGCTGAGCCCCCGGGGGGCCCTGAGTCCTGGGGGGGCAGCAAGGTAGGGATCGGCTGGCAGCAGGGCGTGGGGGGGAGGGAAGCCACTGAGCTTCTCTCAAACACCTGGGGAGCAGAAAGTGGGGGAAAGTTTGGAGGAGACGCACAGGGAGGACAATGGAGGTGCTGGTCTATGGCTCAGGCACCACGGGAAGGGGGGGCCTGGGCTGGCACTGGGATCCCAGCTTCACTCCTTGGCCCCTCACAGTCGTCACTGGCCACTCTGCCCTCCTGTTTGTCTCGTCTCCAGAAGCCCTGGGAGTCCAGGGTCTGTGGCCACTCAGGGAGGGGGCTGGGAACACTGGAGTCTGAGTGACTTGGGATGGGTTCGAGGCACTTGGGTATTAAATGTTCAAAGAACATTCAAGGGCGGGGGGTCGCGGAGCACAGGGGGGTCTCAGGGCAGTTGGGGGTGGTTCACAAAGACTGAAATCAAAAACCTCGCCTGGTCGGTGTGGCTCAGTGGTTGAGCATTGACCCATGAACCAGGAGGTCACAGTTCGATTCCTGGTCAGGGCACAAGCCCAGGTTTGGGGCTCAGCCCCAGTAGAGGGTGTGCAGGAGGCAGCTGATCAATGATTCTCTCTCATCATTGATGTTTCCATCTCTCTCCCTCTCTCTTCCTCTCTCTGAAATCAATAAAAACATATAAAAATATTTTTTAAAACCCAAACCTGCAGGGAGAGACTTTAGACCC